AAATTTAAATCTACACAGAAAAAAAAATTTGTTAATTTTAACAAAATATTAACCAGATTTTATGTTAATCCAGGTATTTGTAGACCCAGTATTTGTAGAAAATTGGAAACTTAAATTAAAAGAATTTTGATAAGAAATGTTGCTTTATTAATCAATTTCCCAAAAAGTTGTTTAATCTATTTAATATACATATCTATAAATAGAAATCTTTTTGACAAAACCCAAACTTTTATAGGCCCCAAACAGCTACAATTAACACAGAAGTTTTACTTGTACAATAAATTATCCATAATTGAGTTTAAAGTAGTTTAAAAACGGACAAACTAATAAAAATATATAAATTAAAGGCCTTAATTGGCCTTAAATGAAATATTAATATTTTTTAATTTAAAATTAAATAAAAAACGATATTGCAAAGACTGTATTAAAAAAAACTATGAAAAAATATAAGCCATCATTTTTTTTTAATTTTGGATGAATTTTGTCATATGTAGTTATTTTTATAATGTTTTTAATTTACCTGTATGAGTTATGCAACTCAGTCTACTGAGAACGTACACAGGTAAGTATAAGTTCATACGCATTATTTTTACCTGAGCCATTATAAGCCGAATTTGAAACCCTTGTTACGTTTCCCGGTCTAATAATATTGGGCCTATTTAAGTGGCCCGCACCAAATTTCACATAAAATAAGAGTGAAATAAGTATTAATTAATTGTTTAAAAACATTTTTTATAGGTTTTAAAATTTATTTGTTAATACAAAAAATATGGTTTTTTAGTTCTATGTATATATTTATTTTATTTACATAGGTAATGATAAAAAAAGCCTAACTAGTTTTTATTACTAAAAATAACTTCTTTTACATGTGGGTCCTCGATTTTTGGAACTCCCTGTGTAGTTTATGATTTATGGCCAATGAATGGTTTTAATTATTTATAAATTTTTAATTTATTACAAAAAGTTATGAACTGCACTGCTTTTCTTAAAATTATGAACATACATAATTCTTAAATATTTGTATTTATTTTTAAAAAATTAAAAAATGATAATTACTTTTTTGTAACAAATATATTTGACAAACTTAATTGAACTGCACTGCCCTTATGTGTAAATATGTACACCCCTGAGGGTATTCTCGCACCTTATTTGGCTTATTCATCTCTGCCACCGATTACAGCGCCATCTAGTGTTGGGTGGATTTTCGCAGTTAACTGCTTCCAACGCAATAGTTCACCCTGCTTGCCAAGTTTTGATGGGGGAGCGCTTATGAGCAGCACCTTTAATAATCGCGTTAAAAGAGAACTTTTACGATTTTCACGTTTTAAAAGTTAGCATTAAGTTCTTTTGGGACCTTGTTTTAATAAAAAAGTGAAAATAATACCATCCTTTTAATTTTTTAAACTAAATTTTATGCTTTTTCAAATAACAAACAAATTTTATTAAAAGAAAAAACTTTTTAAATTTAAATTAAAAAAGTCTGCTATCACAATATCTATCACCTTTTAACTAACACATATTTTATTTTCCGCCTAAATGTTAAACTTTATACTTTTTTTGTATTTTATTTATACCTAATGTTTATATTTATATTATGTATTAGGTTTAATAAACGAAGCTTGCGAGCGAATGTTTAATAAAAATGAGTGTCTAAAAAGTTTATAAACCCTACTTATTCTAAGGCGAACATTATTGGGTCGGAATTCGTAAATCAGCACGATAAAAAAATCTATAAATTTTTTTGTCGAAATGTTAAAAAAACCGGTTCTATTTTATTATATATTATAATATAATAATATTATAATATTTTTTTTTAAATCATCACTGAATTAAGTAAAAATCCTATATTCGCTGGAAAACTTCTTGTTGTTACAGGCAATAGAAAAAAATATAGTTAGTACATTCAAATTTGGCATGCATTTTTTTTATATTTTTATAAAATTAAGTAAAAAGTTACACGATAGTAATTACTGTTTTAAATTTTTCTCGAGAGATTAAGATTCCTTAAGTTTTGTTGTGAAGTGACATTTTATTTAAATTTTGAAAAAGTCCAAAACACGTAAAAAAGTTTATTGTTTATAAAAAAGTTTTTTATATTCTTACAAAGATTTTTTATTATAATATAGGTATACCTTTGAGTTTTAATAAAATCGATTTATTGGTTGAATAATATCTAGGTTTTGTTTGACAATAAAATAAAATAAATAAAAAAAATCTGTTCAATTATTTTAATATTTTTTTAATAATGAATTAAAATTTTTGTTCTATACAAAAATTAACCAAAATTGTTTTCAGGTATCTGTTTTTGTCAAAATTTCCTTTAAAATTACTCCAAATTCTTACAACTGCGGCATCGGCAACCTATAAACTTTGTCAAAGTAGGCGTCAAGAAAATGTACACCCATTACGTTTTAAAGTTGGGAGAAAAAACATTTTAAACTTACTAAATTTTAAATTAGAAATTTAACAGCGTTATAAGTCTCAAAAGTAATTGAGTTTACAAAATGTAGTTATTTTTTGCTAATTTAACACAGTACAGTTTTTTTTTCCTCCCGTGAAAAATTTCTTCAGATTTTGAAAATAGGCTTAAAAAATGATACCTGTGTCTCGGCGTTTTTTTCAGTTTTTTTAGTGCGATCAAAAAAATTGTTATCCACGGTATAGTTTTAAAAAAATTATTTACTGAATAAATGGACAACCATTAAGGCTTTTAAAATTTTAAAATTATTTAAATTTTATACAAGGTGTTTTACATTTACAAAATATATCAAGTGGTGTTTTTTAGGTTGTGATACTACTATAAATTCTAAAGCAATGTATAATCTTCAAACTAAAAGACCAAGATTTTTTTCCAACATATATTGAATGTAAGATAAATAAAAATCCGTTGTTTTATTAAAAAAACAAACATTTAAAAAATAAATTATTTTTTTTATAACAAAAATGTATTTTGAACTTGAATTTTGAATTGATTTTAAAAAATGACTTGTCAAAATTAAATGGTTGGACTTGTACTGTTCTTATTCTCACCGATTCAATTAATTATTATGTATAATATACAAAATATTATTAATAATATAATATTCTTTTAATATTAAATTAAGTATAGGTACTTGTTGTTATAACACTTAATTTAAATTTAAACATTTCCTAAAATTTGAAACGAAATGATACCTATCAATTCCCTTTATAATTTTTTTACCATAGGAAATTATGGTCCAATTGAATTGTATGTTTCTCTCTTTTCTTATATCTACAAAATATTTTAAATACTTCATAACATTTGTAATTTCTAATTAAATGTTATACAAATATTTAAAAAATGACACTTTATTAAAAAAAAATGATAGTATTGCCAAGGTGACCACAAGTAGACAGCATTATTTTGTACGAGAATTCTACCCCATCTGGTTGAAGTTTCACATAGGCTTTGTTTTTATTGTTTTATCAATAAAATATTACTCCATTTTTTTATTATATTTTCATTATTCCTTGAACATACAAAGTATGATTTATTTCAGGAGGTGTGTTAACAGCATTAACCCCGATTGAAATTGAACATTAGGGTGTCCGTTATTTTTTTACTTAGGTATTACCTAAATCATTTGTTTGCATTCTAAATAGCATTTAACAACTAGAAGTAGATTTTTTTAAACAATTTTCTGGGATTCTTGGGAGTCTGTATGTCTGTACACCGTGGTGCGCTTTTTTGGGACACTCTGCATGAATGAAAATTAATAAACTAATTAAACATTTGAGTTGTTTAAAATGTAGTGAAAGGGTGTTAAAAATGAAACGTTTAGTTCAGTTCGTAATAGATTTTATTTAATACACACTGAAATATTAAGTTCAGCATAGGAACACAGTTATATTTAAGTAGATTTTCAATATATACGAACGAATCCGTACATATATTTAGCACTACAGCCATATTTTAAATAAATAAAAATATTCGAAATAACATATTAACATTAATAATTACTGTTACATTTAATATAGTATGATGAAGTCAGCATTTTGTTAATACTTTAAAAGTCTATAGACTATTATAATAAACAGTCAAATTATAAAAATTAATTAAGTACGAATCGTTTTTCTAAAATAAGAACAAACTTACTGAATTCACCAAGTTACAGATTTGTGTGCTACGATATTAGACCCTGGTCCATATATTTTTACATCACTAATATTGCATACAAAACCATCTAATTTATTTTTTCTTAACCACATACTCTTTTAGGAATTTTAATTCATTCGCCCCTGGATTAACTCTATATGATCACCCTGTATTTTACAGGGACTTCTAAACACCGATTAATTTGGAAAAAACATTGAAAGTCGTTGAGGGAGAACAAGTAGGTCTAAGTATGCACCTTAAAAAGTAAATCGATGAAACGGAAGAAACATGTTGTATTTAATTAAAGGGCCTGTTTAGTAGATATAGTATACGTCAATAAATATATTTACACTTTAGCGGAACTGGCCAAACTTGATATGATAGGAATGTACAATACTTAAAAGATTTTTGCAGGATGTCGACGCGTCGCCTCGATCCCAAAAATCTCAAAATTGTCAGTCTCAAACAACAAATCTAGTTACTAATTTACAAATATACAGTGATAAACTTAATAATAATTAAAATTAATTAAATGCTTTGGTATCGGTTGCAGTAAACAACGTGATCTGGCCCATTTGTTTTGTTAAATGTAACGCGATCAATTTTGTACATAGGAAATTTATATACAACACACTTCCAAGCAGTTCAGTCGAAATTTGCCAAACGTCAACAAGAACAGCAGTTTCAATCTAAGATCTAAGAAGATCCAACTCTACCTTAAATTATAATAATAATAATAATAATAGTAAATCAAACACTTTGCGTTCTATTATTTTTCTATATTGTTTATAATTACAAACTAACTAATATAACTATAACACAGATTTAAATAGGTAATAAACAATATTTATAATAAATAAAAAATCTTCAATAGTACTGTACAAATAAATAAGCAAAAAGACAATAAACATCGAGAAAACTGCTTGGATGATTTATTAATTCATCAATACTTAATTAGTATAAAAGTAAGTGATAATTACAAGGCCAGCAACAAAACAAATTAAAAGAAACTAGTAACACAAACGAACGGTGTCTTTTAAGTTGTTTCTTACTCTTATAATTGTCACCGAGTGATATACGCAATTTTTTACTATACAGGACAACATTTTTTTGAACGATCCAAAAATAAAATAATAATTTAAAAACGGTAAACAGTCATCGTCACTCACAGAACCGTATTACTCTCTGTCTATGCTGTATTTAAACAAACAAATTTCCTAAATGTTTATGGACTAGTTAGTACGTTAGACTTGACGGCGGTGGCGGGGGCAATCTTAAATTACCCCAGGGAAAAAATCATGTCGCTTCCTTCGAAGCGATGCTGGCAGAAGAATCTTCGTCGCCGGAAAGCATGGAGGGCATGGCGCCCAACATGTGCCCTTTGCCCTGATTTACCACGCATTTGCGCATGTGCTTTTCCAAGGTAGACGGTACCGAAAACGGCATCTCGCAGAACCGGCAGCGATACACGTCCTTGCCGATTCTGCCGTGCGTTTTCATGTGGCGCGTCAGCTTCGAGCTCTGGGCGCAAGCGTACGAACATAATTCGCACTTGTAAGGTTTCTCGCCGGTATGCGATCGTCGGTGCACAGTCAAATTCGAACAGTTCTTAAACACTTTTCCGCAGTATTCGCACGTATCGTTTCTCCTCGACTCTTTCTTCATCAACGGGTTCGGCAACAGTGCACTGGGTCCTGGGATTATTCCCTTGCTCTCCCTCGGCAAACCAGGCAACCACCAGTCGTTTCTTTCCATGTCCATTTTTAATCTTTTCGTGGCTTCGAACGAATCGTTAAAAGGTGGGAACAGCGGCAATTGTTGCGGAGTAGGAACTGGCAGCAATCCTTTGGCGAAATCTTCGCGTAATTTCATTTGAAGGGTGGTGTTGTTATTATCCCTGTCTTTACTACCCAGTTGGAATTTCAAAGCCGAGTTCGACTCTTGCAAAGCTTGCTTATAAGCTTCACTATACTGCGCAATATTGCTCAAGCCAAACTTATCCATAAGCTCGCCGACCAAAGAAGCAGAATGATTGTTGGAAGTTTTCGTCGTGGGTACGCTCAAATCTTCAGCTTCTTCCTCCTCACCGTCGACTTCTTCCTCCTCCTCTTCTTCTTCATCTTCCATTTCGTCTTCTTCGCTGTCATCACCGTCAATTGTTTCAACGGATCCAGCATTACTGGTGCGATCTTCCGACGTTCTGTGGATTTTCATGTGCCGCTTCAATTTGGAACTTTGGGCGCACGCGTGATCGCAAACGGTGCATTTGTAGGGAAGTTCGCCGGTGTGTGTCTTCCTGTGCACTTCCAGGTTATTCAAGAATCGGAACTTCTTGCCGCAATAATCGCAGCTGTGGACAGCGTCTTGCGAAGATGCGTTTCTGGGGCTGCCAGGTTTGCCGGGTGGAGTGGACGCCGACCTGGGCGTATTGATGTTGATCAGCTGCTGTTGTTCTTCTTTGTTGTTCTGCGGCGAGACGCTGGGCGGTCGGCTGCTGCCGGTGCTGTTGTTATTGTTGTTATTGTTGTTGTTGCTTGCCGTGCTGCTGGTACTCGTGTTGTTTGGGATGGTAGTGGTGGTTGTAAGTTGTGGAGAAAAAGGGGGTGAAAGTTTCCGGGGACTGGGTGAACTGACCGTAGCGACTACCCCCGGGCTAGTTGTACCAGCCAACTGCCTTAGCCGCTGCGAGTAAAAATCCAATTGAGGTTCCATGTTTAAGCTCGATTGGTTTTGGATGGGAGTGCTTCTCTCTCGCGAAGGAAGACTGCTTGCCCGTTCCGCAGGTGATGGAAAGTTCGAGTGCGGTGGAGGAACGGCGCCGGCCGCCAACGAGGCGGCGGCCGCTGCGAGATTCAGTCCGTGGTGACGGAACTGCTCGGTAACTAATTGATCGATTCTGTAGTGGTGCTCTGGTCTCGAGAACAAAGGCGTTGGAGGAATGCTGCCGTGGTTCAAAGGTGGTAGAGGCAACCTCAACAAACCGCCGACCCCGAAGGGGTTGTGCATGTCTGGCGGAGGCAACAGGTGATGCCTCATGTTGGGCGTCGGAACCGAAGGAAGGCTGCCCGATGAACAACCGGAAGTGCTGCTGCTCGTGCTCGAAGAGCTGTGGTTGTTGTTCGTGTTGCCTTTACTGCTGGTCGGCGAACTTTCCACGTAGATTTTTACTCCGTGCGAATGCTGCACGTGCTGCACCAAACGCCAAGCGGAATGGAGTCTTGCTTTGCAGGTGGAACACACGTAGTTGCTAGGTTCTGAAACAAAGGAACGAATATATGTAGTCGTCGTGGATAATTAAAGTAAGCATAAAATATGCTGCTAATGATGCTACAAGATTGTATTATTAAAAGAAGTATTATAAAGACGTCAGGCGTCAAGCAGCTATATTATTGTTAAAGAATAGAAATAAAACCCGTTTATAGCGAATAGTTGTGCAGTTAGGCAGGCAAACAGGTAGAAGAAGATGACGAAAAAGAAAAAACTTAATGGATGTGTGCGAAGGCTGTTTAATTAATTTTTAAGTGTAAAAGAAGCTGTGTCAAATGACCGTGCCCATTTTCATTAAGGCCGACTTCCGTTTAACAAACTCTGACCTAGCGATTTGCTCAGTTATGCGTGCTTCCCCGTCTTATTGTTGTCGTTGCTTTGAAAACTAAAGAAGAAAATTGAAAGTCTCGTCACGTAAGACACACCCTATGCCCGGTTGAGTTTCAACTGTGCCGGCAATTTTTCATCGGCGATTTTTCACTGTGTTATTATTTTCGGTAATAACGCCCGCGCGAGGGAACGAGAGTCGGGCGGTAATGTTCTGTCAACATGTGACCGCAAATGGCCAATGGCGTGGTGATACGTACATTTAAATTGCTTTTGTTCCCGAGCGAAAAAACTTTAAAGGGACCACCCGATCAACGCAGACTTTGCACATAAATATCCAATTTTATTACTTCAATAAGGTTTTTGGAATATATTACATCTTATTGTTAAATTGCATTACTATCGTGCATAGATAATAGTTTAATTAAATAAATAAAAATATATTGAAATTTAAATTTAAAATTTTCTTTGCATCGAGATGAAAATATAGCGCGACGATGAGTAAAAATATTGCCGGTCGCTCAAGGCGCACCGGAGATTCTCGAAACAGGAAACAGCCCCTATATCCGTTTTCCTGACGTCCGGCACATATCAGAGTGCGTAAATCGATTTTACTTAAATTACACACTGCACCAATATTGATAACCTTCTGTTTCTTATGGAAGTGCATCAACGCTCAGCCCAATTTATTTTTTTACTACGTTTTAGGTGGGTATCCATGTATTTTTTACGGTGGATGCCATACGAATAATGGCACGAGCTGGGATTATCAAATTCTCCCCTTAGGGTATCTTGTCCACGCATTAAGCCGGCTGCTGCCGGGCTACGGAAAAAAGATGCACACGGTCCATAATTAAGATGAGCACATGATAACCGGTATGCGCGTGTTACAACAATGCTAAATACCTGGCGGCCGAATCGTAATACCCTCTCTGTTTTATTAATCACTTCGTGTTCCTCTCTTCGAGCCACTCGGGTTCGGTTGTTGTGTTTTTGTTGTACTTGTTGGCGCGTGATTTCTGTCAAACCAGTTTCGGTAATTTATTGGGTGAGGTCTTATTAACATATTAGTGCCTTCGTGGGCACGAGACTCCAGTAAAGTTAAACCTTCTAGACAAGACAAGATTCCTCAACATGATGGGATAGTCACCCACCAAATTGTTTTAAGAAGTCAACTACATGGATCGTTGTGTACACGTCAAATTTTATTAAATCTCTTATTTTAAAAAATAATCCACACAACAGTTGTGACTTTTGCGGCTGAAACGATAATCCCGTATAATCCCCCTTTTCTAAATTTAATAAAGGGAGTGGTAAACTATCACCGAATTATAGATATATCGAGGGTTTGATAATTTGCCGTATAGAATTTCAAATACCGTTTTTTAGCAGTTGTTACAAGGTTCGGTGATGTATGACTTTTATTAACCATGTTGTAAAATCAAAATTTATTCGAAGTGAATATATGGGCAATGATGTATGGATGAATAAGGAAAAGCTTTCGCTTATCGCCTCTCGGGAATGTTGTTAACTATTCACTTTATAGCGTGATTACTAATATTGATATAAGTTTAATAGTTGAATCTTTAATTAAATGCCATTGATAAACGATATGAGCTTTCAAATCTGATTGGTTGTTTGTGACGGCGACGCATATCAAAAGAGCAAAGAGTTTTATATTTTACTAGAAAAAGAATAAAAGTTTTCGCATTAGCTCGGGCGAAGTGTGAGGATTTCCGTTTAATCCGCCTTTTTTGTGGCATTAGACGGACTAACTCTTTAGAATTTCAGCTCACGGTCAACCCGGGCTTTGGCTTTGGAAACATTTGCATATGTTTAAAATGTGGCCGCGATCTGAGCACAAAGGGCCCCACGAACCGACTATTATTTATCACGAAAAGGTTCAGGGCGGCAAGGCGGCGGTGGAAACATCTTGCCCCAAACTGCAACTAAAAACTTATCGCAAAAACGTAGCGGCAAATGCCACCACTTTATTGTATACCATAAAATCAACTTTAGCAAGATGCATTTTATTTCATTGAAATTGAATATGCCATGTTTGTACATTTCTGGATTACATTTAACTTACTCTTTGATGTAGAAAAATATTGTTTGTATTCTTACAAGTTATAAATTTTTGTCACCGCTTCCTTGGAATAGCGTACGAAAGATATGAGTGTCCGTAAGTTGAATGCATGATGTAGAGCTTTTGGACAGCACACAAAGAAACCGGGGCTTAAAAATTTGAATATCGCGGTCATTCACGGCTTTATCTAAGTATTAAAGGATATAATCTATTGAAACGTATGACGTATGGGTCTCGGAGGTCCCGACACTCTTTTGGCACACCCCAATGTCAAAAATTTAAATCCAAGGAGAAAAATGGGAATTTAATGACGAAGAATTTCCTAATAATAAGTTTGTTATCGAGTTCACATAATCAAAAGGTAAATAAATCCTGTGTTGACTAAAGTAAAATAAAGTGTACACGAGGCGAGCAATATTAAATATCACAGGATGATTACGTTATCAGAACCTATGTAACTGAACACCCAATTTAAAATTTAATAATCTTGCTGCAATAAATTGAAAAACCATAGTCCGATAAAAAGCAATAAGCAAAACTTTGTAAATAATATTTTTTCGCTTTTTCGTGTACCTTACAATAGGTGTCAAGTGTCAAATAAACCTGTGGCGTTTAAATTAACAAAATGTCACTCTTGCATAACTACGCGGCGTCACCGTCCGCCGTCTGTTTATTAAGTTCTTCATATGCACACACGACGCGTCAACTCTTTGGGCATAATCTCTCGAAATATCTCACTGGATTAATCGATGGATCTACATATCCCCGGATTTTCTTGACAGGATAGGGTAAATCTGTCCGGATTTCGTCATATCACGCCACATCAAATATTGCCAATAATAAATATGCTTATAAATCCCTTTTATTTCGGTTAACATTAACGGTAAATCCCTTTCGCATTTACTAATTAAATTATTGGACCAGCAGTCTGGTGATGGGACTTAAATGTGCATGACAACTTTTTTAGATTATCTGATCCGTAGTTACAAACAAGCATTGTCCCAAGTTCCAGCTCCTGGAGCGCACAAATGAACCCTCATATGAATAAAGAACTTTAAAATTTTTGACATGGTCCACTGCTTCCATTAGATAAAATTCTAGGGTGACATATGCCCTCTCAAAGGGTTAATCTCTGGACACTGCTTGTTCAAAACCTGACAAAAGCACTTTCGATGTTTATCGTATTATTTTCAATTAACAGACGCAAAAATTGCTGTACCAAAAAGCGTGGGAGAAACAAAAAACATCCATGAAAATTTCCCATGAAAAATTGTAAAATTAGAACACAAAGGTAAACATGCCATTTAACGTTATCTATTATCTAAATTATTCATATTTAAATCCGGCAAGTCCGATAAGACCTGCACATTCTAATAAAGATAACAATAATTGTTGAAATTACCACTTACCACTATGTGTTGTGTTCGATTCAGCATCGGCAACTTCCGTTCTCGACTTTTTTGCAGCCACTGTTATCCTCAGGGGACATAGTAGTGTCCATCCTCTCCTGCTTGATCATTGGTTTGATATCCTCCTCGGGACTGGAGCTGGTCAACGGACTGCTAGCCCGTCTTTTGGGCGTGGAAGACGCCGCTCCGTCAACGCAAAGATCACCAGGTGCTGGCAATCTTGGCGAGGCCGGCGGAGGTGTGTGCACCCTGTTTCGGAAGACTTCTTACCGGAAATAGGTGCCGAGATGCTCGGTCGTCTACTGTTAATCGTCGACAGGGGCAATGCGGAGTCATCGTTATCGCGCTCTCTGTCCGAATTTTGAAAACACTGACCGAAGTTTTCTTTGTTACACGTTTGGATTTTGTGCTGGATGAAACGGACTATGTCCGAGAGGGCGAAGGGTTTTTGACACACTCCGCAGGTCAGGATGTCTTGGTGGCTGTCGGTGTCTGACCCGTCGGTATCAGCTGAAAAACAAATAGAAAAAATTAGTATTCACATTCAAAATACAAATAAACGTTTTTTTTAATAATAAGTGTTTTATTGGTTTTTGTACCCTGATAAAATCTCATTATTCTAAACTATTTAAAATATTATAGCGTAATAAAATTAATATTGTGGTTATAAAACCATTGATAAAAGCAAAAGACCCACTTGAAGAAAAAAATGCCTAATTAGTGTAGGCTTTTTTATAATACCAGCATCAATGTTGAAATCAGTAAGCGACAAACAAGCATTCAAACAATTAAAAATATAGATCGAACATAACGTCGATTGGTAATCGCGACGGGGGTCGGGTTATTAGAGGGGGGTGGGCGAAGGGTTGGTGGGCTTTGAGCCCTGGCTGTTGAGTGTCATTACGACACCCCGTCACATTGGGGGGTGGGCGAGATTCGCAGCTGTTTTCACGAAATCAATACCGTGCGGTCGTATGCAAAAATTACTCTCCTTTTGTCTTAAGGATGGACGGCGTGGGCATTGTTCTCTGGTTCTGGACAACAACCCCCGTCTATGTCGAGATGGCGTGGATAATGAGCGGAGCGTCAAAGAGCCGTGCTTCAATAAACTGGAGGGCTTTTGTTTTATAAGTGTAGTAGACTCAATCATTAATTGACCCGAAAGCTAATTCCACCTTCTATTTTTCTTACATCAAAATACCCATAAAATATATTTTTCCGCTTCGATAAAGAATATATTACAATCTCCCTTTCCCAAATTACTGGTATCAAAACAATCAATTCCTGTCCACAAATTTCCTATCAAACGCCAATAGAATAAATTATAATACATATTGATACGAAAGTAGGCAATATAACGTATATCTGAAACAATCTTTGAGCCCTCACAATAAACTTTTATTTCAATCGAGATACTGCTGAAATTACTTTCAATTTGGGGCGTATATTCGTCAAGCAGGTTATGACCAGTGTCCAGATACAATGACCAATGGGGATCAAGGATCATGTGTGTAAAGAAGGTAAAGCACCCTTCGCGCAAGGGTATTGGTCAGTTAGGGGAGTGGTCAGTCGCTTGGGGTGACCATCGATCAAACTGGTTGGTCCGTAAATAGACTACCTGCCCTTACCTGAAAAAAATTTCAGCATTTTTGGCGGATTATTTTTTAAGACGTTATTTTCTTGGTCCAGTTTTGTGCTGCACATTTGTTTTTGCTTGCTCGAAAAATAAAAACTCAAAACGCCCAGAAGGGGTTTCTACAATGCACGACCGTTGTTTTGAAGTCTTTTGTCGTGGTTCGAATGGCACCTGGACATATTCTTAATGAATTGAACTTTCGATAGGGTCGACTTAATTTACCGAACATAATGTACTGTAATTTGTCTAATATAACGAGTGAACAAAATAAATCATTCGTAAATAAATGTTCAATACGTATTGTTTTACAAGGTTGCTTTTATTTTATTCGCGTCTGAGGCTGAGTGGTAATGTGATTGGCAGTTTTTTCCAAATATAGCCCAAAGGTGGTCAACGTAATCTTGTTGTTCGGCCTCTAGAGCATAGCTTGTCACTTTGGTAAAAGACTTAATTCAATAGAGACGGCTAAAGTTAGACTAATACGTAAACTACATTAACTCACCCTTGTTTGTCGGATAACAAAGCAGCATGATAATTTACTAATCGAATAAAAAATAATAGCGACAAAATAAAATTGATTAAGCTTTAAAAAAATCAAATAAAATAAAAGCGTTCGAGATCAAGATAGTAAATGTCGCGACCCGATGTTCGTTTGTCACCCGCTAAGAAGTAATAAAATAATTCCAGAGCACTCTTTCTGGACATTATGTGACAGAAAATACGACTCTCTGTTTTAATCAGAACACTGGCTAGTATTTGTAATCAAGTGGGGTCTGCACATAATGGCCTACCACTGATAAAATTAACTGCAGAAAATTTAATGGCAATAGATAACCGAGAAGATATTTATTTACCGAACAAATTGAATCAACGTTGATAACTCACCGGATAAATATTTCCAAAACATTTTCATTTTCATATAATACTCAACACTCATTGTCTATAACACTAAACTTATATAATAAAATTAACAAAAAACACAAAGTTCTAAAACCATATGAAACTATTGATGATACACTACATAGGGATGCTGACCATGGACTGATTTAGCTTAGAAATGATCATAATACAGGTAGAGCCCGGTGGGCATGCACTTAGGGTGGGGGAAGCTGACCCGCTACCCTTAGGTGAGGCAAAAAAATCGTGTGGGGACGGATTACTATAGGGGATGATTCGTAAAAAAATCGCGCGAGTAAAAAAACGTTGAATGCATAATCAGATCTAGTGGCAGAGGAAAGAACTAAGAAGAGATAATTACGTCTTAGAAGTTTTTATGAAAAGACCGTTAAGTATTAAGTATGCTATTTTGGCTAATTAACAAAATTGATTGTACAATTTTTGGCATTATGGCATTTTAAATAGTTTGTAACATACTCGTACAGAAAAATACAGAAATTACTTTTGGGGCATTCCATGATAATCGGGAATTTTTGTCCCGCCAGTCACAATTAAAAATTGTTAGTAAAAACCACACGTTATTAAATTAATAATTTTTAATATTGTTTATTATGTTTATATATACCTAAGCTTATTACAATCATAATACACAATATTTTAAAATAAATTTATTAACGTGAGGTTTTTACTCACAATTTTTAATTGTGACTGGTGGTAACGTGGAATGAAGGGGCATTATTAAATTTATGACTAGGTACTTAATTAGGAAAAGATTGAACGGTAAAATTGTCTAAAAACAATGGTATTACATACTGCCTACATACTGCATAAGATTTAGATCGGTTTTCGAATATAAGTATTTCTCAAAAATGTCTAATACATATTAGACAAAGTAAAAAATACAGATGTTTTTTTGCAGAATAATTGGCTTAATATATTTCTTATCTAGGGCTGGGAACCCACAAAGTACCATTAATTTATGTACCATATAAAAAACACCCCATGGGTAAGAAGTTTTTTAAGACCAGCGTGAGAATAGGTAAAAAACGTGGGGTGTCATTTTTTATGCAGGTAAAAAACTATACCTATGCTAATTCTGCATTTTTATATCCGGGTGTGTATCGGAACTAAAAGTGTTTTTTATTTAATAGGTACATTGATCATCTGTGTGTGAGAATTTTTTTCGGACAAAGATTTTTTTAGGGTGGCAAAAATCGTGAGAAATACCTAAATAGGGTCATCGATTTATCGATAAATTGATTTTAAATCCTCAACCCTTTTTTTGGAATGCTTAACGGTACTATTCATAAATATGTATTTCTCATAGTACGACTATCTCTATCATTATTTTTCATATTATAAACATGACGAATTGTAAAGTTACTGGGGCAAACAATGTTTCACTATTATACCCATTCACTTGAAAAGGGTTGACCAGGCGATTCCCACACATAGGTGGCCATGGAAGATGCTGACACCCACATCTGCCATCCACGGTCGAAAATATTTACCGTACTACACTGACGATGCTTATATTATTCAAAAAAAATAATTAATTAATTGAATCTAGTTTGGTTGGGTACACGAAACAAAAGAATCATTAAACAAATGACTACGCTTTCACCGAAACATAACTCGTAGAACTGCAACTTATTCAAATGAAGCAGAAAACTTTTATTTTAACGTATTGACCAGATAGAAACAGATAACCAAATGTTGAGCCATGCGTTTAAACGACGAGCAGTTAGTTTGCATATATAAATAACATCCGTTTCATAGGGTTTCGTAAAACAATGCGTAAGCACATGTAAAAAACAATTGATGTCCACTTAATTGATGTCAAGTGAACTTGCATATCAATGAGCTTGCGTGAGGTCTGACCAATGCTATGCTATGCTATGCTGTGTACTTTGGAGAATGTTCGTTTTGATTGATGCAAAGCTGTTCGCAGCATATAAACAATGACTGTTACACGGCTTATGGTGTTAGAACACGCTAGGGAAGATCTGGGTAATTAATCTAAATTATTAGCAGATAAGGTGACCCGTAACGGTAGCCCGCAAGATTCATTCAAGGTGCACACGGAGAACTCTCCCACGCTCCAGTTGTGTTTAGGAACGAAAGGGTCACATTTTGCCGTCATTCAACACTTGTCCGAAAGGACAATGGTCAGTTTTAACCTGCCTTCCTCCTCAAAGAAACCCAGCGGTAAAGCTCTATTGTCACACAATGACATTATACTATTTATCTTGTTTGTCCATTTATTATATCGGGAATAGAAGAAATATGATTTTTCATAAATTCCGATACATTCCCGAAAAACCCTTTGTTAATTTTTTCAGCAGAAAAAAAAACTATAAAAAAGTCGGTGCCACAAACAAACCAAATGAAGGAGATTTAATTAATTAACTTAATGTACGCGGGCGCACACAATAAAAAAAACAAAAAATATATTTGGGATCCACTCGCGTTAAATTAAAAGTTTTAACGTATTCCCTTTGTCCATTGAAAAAAGTTGCAAACTGTATTCATAATTAATTTTTATAAACTGAAAAGTTTGTTTTCAGTTACAGCTTTAATAAATCAATTATTTACCAGCTTTGACCAGCGAATATAACTTTCCACACCTTTTGTAAAGTTGAAGCATGCATTATTGAAGTGTTAGCGCTACCATAGATACAAAAATTTGACAAATCATGACGTATTAAATTTTGTATTTATTTTGTAAAATTTTGTAGAAATTGTTTAACATGAAGCCCGGCAGGGTTACCCGCAGTCCTTTCTTTAATTTCATGCGGGACTACCGTCGTATGAACAAAGGTAAGGCAACAGAAATGGTGAAAAAAGGCGCTGGAGTGTGGAGAAATCTGGACTATACAAAAAAGCAGCCTTACATTGATCAAGCAAAACATGCCAGACGATTACCAAAGGACAAGAAAAAAGGGGCTAGTTTGAAAAAATCGAAAACCTTTAAAAAATCGAGTGTTAGTTTAAAAAAGTCGAGTGTTAGTTTAAAAAAGTCGAAGAATTCGGTGGGAAGTAAACGGAGCAAAAGTAATGGGGGGCAGAGGAAAGAAGAGTAAATTAAATGATATATTAATCCTCGATGTCTTTTAATTATTAATAAATGATTATGCTGTGGAATTCCTGTGATTAGTGATGTTAGGACTGAGTTGCTACCTGTTGTTTAGTAGTAACAATTAAGGTTTGCATTTGAGATTAGAATCGGATAGCTATAAACAAAGTAAGGCGAATATTTTCAGCAAGTTTCCCAGATATATTAGCACTTGTTTTCCTAATAGGGTCTCACACAATTTGCTTATAAATATGTTCCCTAACCTCCGCATTAACAACTTAAAAGGAGTTTTAGAGCTGGTAAATGGTGTATTATTTCCAATTTAATATCGTTGACTTAAAGATTTAGCATCGGCCATTCTTCGGGTCATCAATTAGATTCATATCTAAAATCTCCGATCAATATCTTTAGCTTCCAAGTTCCTTTACGTTTGTTAACAATGTCAGGACATGCAGAATTGAGTTTGGATCGGAGACAGATAAATAAATCTAGGAAAACCGGCAGAAAAATATAAATCATTCGCCTATAGATATTCGGCTATTACAACCACTTTACGAGGCTGTAAATATTATGAAGACCAAATGACTTTTAGTGCTAAATTTATTCAAATCGTTTAACGGTAAAAGCAAGGTGCAAAATTTTATTTATAGTTAAATTTTCTAATATTAAAACTATGTATACATACGTGGTACATTTACGTGGGAACGACAAGATACAATCAAACACCTTTCAGACCTGAGAAAGGTTCACTTGTCAATCTTTGCAAACCATCTGACCACCACATCTATTCGTCATGCGAAACTCTTTCAGATGTCGGACATATTAAGAAAAATCGTTATATTTCATAAACACCCTTCATATTGATCTTAAAGTAATATGGTGACGTAATTAGTCTTACTGGGGCGAATGCACAATGAGCCACCTTGTTATTATTATTAGAAAGGCAGGCATTGGATCAAGAATTGTGTCCTGCAGATCAATTGTTTTCGTTTGTCCAATGACGTTGTAGCATTAGGTCGCGATATATTATTAGGTACTACAAATAGCGCCATACTGAAATACTTGGTAAAAAGTTCTTATCTGGTTTAGAGGAAATAAAGAGATAAAGCCTGTTCTTAATGAAGAACTTCTTTGTGTGCGTGTTCGGAAATAGACCTTAACTGACCCTTCTTATGCCATTGAACTTCAAATTTGAGTTGCTATTTATAAATTCGTTAAAAATAGAGAGACGCTATCGACCACATACAATATTTTCTTGGTTACTCTCGGCCATGTGTTTTGTGTTATGGTCTAAGATGAGCCAAAGAAAGAAGGGGGCTATTTTTAGATAGCATTTGACTCTTTTATAGAAAATGAATAAATACATAAATTGTATGTTATTTTTGTGTCACGGTGATTAATGTACACACACATTTGCCATGGCGAGTTTATCTATAAAAGTATTTAGAATTAGGTGAGCTGTATTTACCTTAGATAAGAGCTAGCTGTTTAGGACGCATAAAGGTGATAAGATAATGTTAACAGCCGACAAACTGTCCACAAACATATTGCATTACCTTCAACACAATAACGAGCGGATAAAAATTAAAAACGTGAAAATATATCTATTCTCTGGCAAATAGCCGCATTAAACAATCTATAGATCAATTTACCACGTTATTTCGACGAATTTATAAGTTATTATTTTATTCGTTACGCGACGTTGTGATAAAATTGCGATTTAATACAAAACATCGTAAACTTACTGAATGCCATAAATTCCGTTAGAAACTTGGCCAGTTTAAGTACCAGAAAATTTACTGATTAACAGAACTATGAAATAAAGAAAAAATTAGCGACACGTCAACCAAAATAATTTCCAAAATTGTTTCAAGTCTCATTAGACTTTATAAAGCATCTTAATTAACGTTAAAGAAATCATTAAAACACCTTAAGTATAGGTGTGGGACAGTTTTACCATTAACATTAATAATTGCAATTGAGTACAAAGAGAGAATAGTTATTCAAAAATTAGTAACGCTTGTGCAACATTATTGGTGCTTAACATTTAGTGAATAGTTAAACCACGAGGCATTATAATAATAAATGTTTTGAGATGGTTTGTCGTGTATAAATCGAACAGACCGCATCCATAAATACCAAGTCATGGCTACACGCTGACCAACTCGACCCTATGACATTTAAGCGCGGACCACATTACGGATCTCGGATCATACAGCACATCGAAAAGGTTACAATCTTACCTTTACTTAATAATATTTTCTTTTAGGTTACTAACAAAGTCGCATTCTGGTTTTTAAGGGTTAAGATTTTAATAAAAGAAATACAATTATTTAAAAAATTGATAGAATTTCCAAAATATGTCTGGTCTTTTTTGAGCAATGGAGAAAATAGTGTTAAAGCTAAAGAGTGACTTGAAAGTCATTATGGTGACTCAGCACCATCAAGAACTGAAAGTTCTTCATGTCATTCATCCCAGAAATCATCAGACAAGTCCGCAAAATCTTATTGGAAAATTAAAGGGTAAATGTGTAAGATTGATGACACTCCGGGCATCTCAACTGAATCGGCAAAGACAAAAATCATGTTTCACATTTCCCCAGTAAACAAAGCTGCTATAAACATTAAAAAAATCAAGAAATTAGGCTGGGAATTGCTGCTGCATTCTCTGAATTCTCCAGATTTGGCTCCATGTGACTTTTTTAGAATTGAAAAAATCGTTTCCTACGAAGAGATACGCCTCAAATGCTGAAGTAATCGACACTAAAGGTGCATTTTTTTCTTTATAAAAACGAGAAAGCGTTTTCTCGTATTCTGAAAGAGAATCGTTGGAATAAATGTATCGAACTAAAAGGAGATAATGCCCTCGTATATCTAGTTTTCTAAGATAATTAAACTTTAAGATCAAAAAAGACTCATTTTTTAAAGAAATTGATATATGATCTAGAAAATACTTCAAAATTATAAAATAAAAACAACAGCAAAAAGTCAAAAAAATTGTTTTTAGATTTTTAATTTTTAATATTTATTTTAAATTGTGTGTTTAAAGTGCACAATTCTCTGTTTACATTTGTCCAACTCATTTTTTTTCTTTGGGTGAAGAAGAAGAAACCGCGGAAGAAGTGTTCCACATGGATGCTCGTCTTCAAAACAACCGTACTACCGTCAAATGTTTCAAGCTTAAGTCCACCGGCATTAGATCAGGTTGTCATCGTTGAAATTGCAAGATAAGTGAAACTCTTTCAACGGTTGTAGTTTTTTCGTCGTTCTACATGTTGAAATCATGCAACGAAACGGAATTTTGTCATTTAATTTTTCTCGAAAACATACTATTTAACTAAACATTTAAGACCGTCCCAATAGCTTAATACTTTTCAGGAGATTGAGCAGCCGCTCTGCTCCTTGTACATAGAGCAAAGTCTGAATAGTTTGCTTTAGTAATTGGTACGTCGAGAAATAAAACAACCATTTCAATTGATGGATGAGTTATTAAAGTTTTAATTGGTTCAAAGTATACGGCAATCAATTAATTATTTTAAGTTTTGGTTTTGGTATTTGGTATTTTACAAATTGATATGATATGATATGAGATTCAAAAAAATGTAGAACCCTTTAACAGCTGGGCATGTTTGTTTAAGGTTATATTTCTATATACTTTTATTAGACCAACTAATTGACCAATATTTATTTAGGCTTTAATGTTTAGTGCGCATCTTTCTTAATAAGTTACACTTATTTTACATAAAATATCCATATGTCCTTTTATACATTTTTAATAGTAACTCGATATTTTCAAAATTATTTCCTGTCAACTATCCAATTTTTTCGAGATAAAAAGACGCTTCCTGTAATGCGAGATTTTCCAACCATGTTGGTACTAAATAAAATCCACCACAATGATATCATCCGAGTTTTTAGAATATGATGTGGTAAAGTCTCTTATCTTAATAGTTTAAGTACGCATGGAGGAAATACGTCCATAAAGATAAATAAGGTAGGTTATACCTTTTTAATTAATAATGATGTCATGTTTTAATTAAAAGCAGATTTGTTAAAATTATGGTAGTAACATTTTAACGAGTTTTGATATTAGCTAAAAATGTGAGGTTTATCAATTTCCTCTTTTTGTACTGAGCTCAAACTTTCCTACAATGTACAAAAAGAACTTTTAGGCTAAATGGCATTTTATCTTCAAGTTGTAATATTTTTCAGACTTTAAAGCCAATTTCATTTGTTAAACGATAAATAAAAGGTGCCAGAAGTGGAATTTTTTGAATGGTTCAAATCACAGTGAATAATCAATTCACGCCCAACACTAATTACTAGCCCATAATTATTTACATGGGCCTTGGCCCAATCATAATAATAATAATAATAATAAACGTCTTTATTGAAATAAGAAATTCAACTATTTTAAATTAAAAATATAGTAATCAATCAGTGTCGAGTGTTGACAACAATAAAGTTTAATTTATAGACCGCTTGAAGATAAAATTGTTTATTTTATATATTTTTTTAAATATCGTGAGAATTTGGGTCGTGCATTCATATACAACTATTATCAGCAGCTCGGTGTATACGTGTACCTGTGTTTTGCATTTGTGGCGGACGTAAACATTTTCTACCTACACAACGTATGTATACGGCAGGTCTCTCTGGTCAACTGGTTAAAACGAAGATGCTCATGTCTTAACAGCAATAATTCACTAATTCTTCATCTTATAAATCTACACCGGGGCCTGAGCTAGCAAATATATTGCCGCGATGTGTAATCTTTGTTTATGAAGCTTGATTATAAATTTTTGTGTTTGGTCATAAGAGAGCCAAAAGATTTTCTTTTTTGAGTAACATAATTATAATTATGGGTAGTGATGATTCATGATGTTAATTGTCACAGGTGAACCCTCTTTTAAAATTGCCAACGTTTAAAAAAGGGTCTTGTTGTGTCCATTGAGTGTCCAGCGTGAAATTAAGGGGTGACCACTGAAGCGTTCACTTTATCGCTTTTTATTGTTAAAGGAATATTTTACTGCCCGGCTAATTTTTAATCGACTCTTCCGGTGATTTGGGTTTTGCCGATATGATAGACACAAACAAAAATATGTTATTAAAAATTTTAATTTTACCAATGTATTGTTTATGTTCGTGTGTCCGAGTAATAAGTAATAAGTATTAAAGATGCCAGGCATCTGGTGCTTGATAAAAAGTATATAGCAAAGATAGAACAGGAAAAATGTTTGTGCGCAAAGGCTTAGATGTCACCCGTACACTACATAATAATTATGGATTGGGTTATGGAAATAACTAACCAGCAAGTCTCTAAAAAGTTAGAAGATCTAAAATTCGCTAATAATATCTGCCTTCAGTGGACCAAACAAAATCATATACAAGAGAAAACTGCTAGCAAACAACAAAACTGAAGATAGGCAATGAAGAAATAGAAGAAGTGAAGATCTGCTAGTCTGGAATATACTTCGTTTAAAAGCTAGAACGGAAAAGGATATAGAAAGAAACCTTTTTATAATCCTAAATAAAATATGGTCATCATCAATTCTATCTAGAAAAACCAAATTTTAGTTTAAATGTAAAAAGCATTCTAATATAATATAATAATATGCATTATATTTAACCTGAAAAAATTGTACTTACTGAATTAATTACAAAATAATATGCTATACTATACTATACTATACTATCTATTTTATCTTAGGAGTTATAGAAAGAAAAACATTGTTTATGTATATGCAAAAACATAATTTGTAAAAAGAAATTTATCATTGTTAGTAAAATAGTAAAGTAATAGGTAAATTAATTTAACTTTTAGATCATAAAATACTTAAATTGCAAATTTTAATTAATTTTAAAACCATGTAAGATAATTAATTATTAATCCTTTTAAGCTAATACATTTAATGGTATATTATGTATCAAGTTTGATAAACGCCATTTTAGTCAAGAATTTAATTTAGGCACTAGCGAGCTTGCGAGCGAGTGCTTAATTAAATAAGTGTCTAGAAAAGTTTATAAACGAGTTGCATACTATAGTGATTTGGTATTGGTAGATGAAGTAGTTGTAGTAATGTTACATTGGACTGTCGTCATCTTGGTTTTCTTGATTTTCACAACGTTTCGATTGGTTGTCTCGAATCGTCTTCAGGTGATAATGATAACCAACGTTTTGAAAATCAAGACAACCAAGATGACGAAAGTCCAATGTAACATTATTGCATCCTATACTTTTTCTACGACAAATACTTAATATTATGTACAAAATAATTTAAATTAAATATTTGTACAAAGCGACATCTTTACAAAAATAAAGTAAACATCCCAATAAACATTTTTGACGTAATTTTTACCATTAACATTGACCTTTATTATTTTAATTAGACTTTAAAATTATTGATATTTAAAAAAGTGTATTTATTGAACTTCCCGTTAGAATTTCAAACTTGGAAATTTACCGGGGTTAAAATCTTAAATTTTTCGGTGTTAATCAAAAATTATCCTTTGAAAATAGACTAACTAAATAATACTAATCGATATAGAAGCAGCAGTAAAAGAGAAGAGAATATTTTATGGGCACTGCAGTACACTGTACGCACAATTTTTAACGCTTTATCAGTTAAATCTAGTTAACTGCACTACTACAGCGAAATCAAAAAGTCAGTACAAACATTTATATAATCTGTTTAAATATTGGCGTTAATACTTTTTAATTTTTGTATTGAGATAATAAAAGAATTTTTACATTTAGTTCTATTTTACAAGAAATACATTATTTTAACGATTGTATTCGACAACTGTCAACTATCTTAAAGCTAACTTCTGCCCGTGACTAAAAACCTGTTGCTAACTTCAGCCCGTGACTAAAGCGCCATAAAGCCACAACTTGTCAATGTGTATTTAAAAGGTCACTTAGTGTCATGAAAACATTTACGATAAGTTGATAATTTTAAATTTTAAATAGATAAAAAACAAATTTCATTTAATTTATTTAAAGCTTTGGTTTTGCATAATTCGACATTTAATTAAGCCTGAACCAACATTAAACATAAAGTTGTGACATTTTATTATTTAGTATTTACACTGAAACAGTGTTAAATAAATTTCGAAGCCATTAACTGGTTCTTGCAAGTTTTACAGTGTTTACGTGAAGTAGAGCCGGGCAAAGATTTGCCGCCGTATCACTAAACTCTAACATAAACCCATCATTTGCCTGTAAAATATTGTGAATTGCCGTTTTATTTAGATTTCGCCTCTCTATTTTAAGTCGAACTTTTGGGTGGCCGAACCCATAAAACTTGTCAACATAATTTTCGACCTCTAATGACCACGAATGTAACGTTTTAGATATTTCCGTTGAAAAATTTACTAGTTTTTCCGTAGTTGAAAAGGGTTAACTGGACAATACAGCAATCTATTTTCCGTTAAGTAAATTAACTTCGGGCATACCTGAAAATTATTAAAACTGACCAAAAAGCGTGCGAATGGGTTAACTGGACTTCCCACTTCTTGACACTCCCCAACTTAACATTTTGACCCTTTTTCGTGACCGCTACAAGCCATAAAAAACGGGTAAGTGGCAAATCAAACAGGTAGACTTTAAAGAAGGGTATTAAAGTGAAGATGGTAGGCAAATTACGAGAGTGTGTCTATTCTTTTTTATTGTTATACATCGACACGCTTATTGCACACTTAATTTATTGGGGATCTCTTTCACTCATAATACAATCACTAAAAACTACTGTCGTGTGCCAAACAGATAAAAAACGTTTTAATGCAAAAGATGTGTTGGAATATAGCTAAATATCCTCAACTCACCAATTTATTTAAAGTAAACAAAAACACTGAATAAACAATAATTTATTAATAACAAATAACGCCCACCAAAAACTTAACACAAATATGTTGGGTGCGAAAGTGGCAAAGTGAACTGAAGTGAACGCTGTAAAACTCTGAAGAAGACTGAAAATTTGCCGAAGTAAAAAGTATGCGCAAGACTGAAAGCACTGAAAATCATTATTATAACTTTTTGTTATAAGTGAATTATTCCACTCTTTTCTTTTCTTAATTACGAATTCGCCACGTGCTTTACTCTTCATTTTCAGGGGGTGGCGTGAAACGCGACGGATAAGTTTTTCAGTGACAACTGAAAGTGGAATCATAGTTTTCAGGATTTTGTACGGGTTTTAAGAAACAACTATTTTGGAGTATAAAAAAAGTGTTTTTAGAAATTTGTAGGAATTTGAACAAATTTTCAGTAAGTTGAGTTTACTGTAGTTTTTTAGCAAAAACTCTTTCCAATATATATCATCTTTGCTTAAAAATAAACATAATAACGAAAAATCGTTGATATTTCTGAAAATAAAATAATCTGAAAAATATATTTTTAGTAATCAAACCCTTACAAAAATATTTTCAAAAATATCACAATGTTTCAGCTTTCAGGATTTTAGGTTGTAAAAAAGTTTTTCATGAAAAAGTATTGCCTGAAAAATTGCTGAAACTTACCTTGAGCAATGCGGACCGCTGGCATTTTAATTCTCATTTTGGCGGTGTGAATTGTTCTTTCAAATAACAAAAAACAACGATTTGCTAGTCCATAATTTGTCTAGTTTTTGCACTATATATCACTAACACTGAACATGAAAAACATTCAGGTGAACAAGCTAAAAATCGTTCTGAAACACACAAAACACGTCACTTTCCGCGTGAAGTCCCAACAGGACGATTCGTAGTCGTAGTGTGCGTGGTGTCCAAAGCCTTCGTGGACCATAGATGTTGACCATCGGGAAGGCCACGCGCTTGTGATATCGTAGCAGGCGGTCACATAGAGAGCGGGCCGCCGCTCAAGTCGCTCGGCATCGTGCGCGATCGTGTGTCTTCGTGCGGGCTATTCGCTAGCCAACGGTCCTAGAAGGCCTAGACTTGGGGATGCGCGCGGTCTTTGGATGTTCCAGAGTTGCCCGGAGTGGGGACCGGGCCCCGATGGATACTCTTTCATACCCGTCTTCCGGGTAACTCCGGTGTACCGGTACGCTATGATGTATGAACCTACACATACTCGCGTTACAAATGCGTGGGATGAAATGCTTTTTAAATGAGCTTTATTTTATGGGTGGGAAAAATCAAATTTTGGCCAAGAATTTTTAAAGATTTTTAAAATAAAAACAAACAAAAAAATTGGAATATTGTTAATTAAATTATAAAAATTAACTTTTTAAACGACATTTATATTAGTTTTTGTACCAAATTTTAGGCATAAATTTATAGAAAATAAGCGAGGTTCGATAGCTTTATAACTGTCGGGAATTTTTTTATTGTTTTGCAAAGACTAGGATGTAAAAAAACTTTAGCTGATTTTTCTGAATTATTTTTACAGCCTACTCTAAAAATTAATTAGTCAAAAATGACTAATTTAATAGTTATTAGTGGCTGCTTTTTCACTTGTACCATGGTTAACCATGGAATACCATGGTATCCCAAAATTTAACAGCCAGTTCTTATGTAAAATTGTCCCCTAAATCCGAAAATGTCAATTTTCCATTTAATTTGGAATTGACTATATCTCAAAAACTGCTCCACTTTCATAATTTTTGACGGTATTTTCGGATTCAGGGACAATTTTACATAAGAATTGGCTGTTAAATTTTGGGATACCATAGTATTCCATGGTTAACCAGGGTACAAGTGAAAAAGCAGCCGCTAATAACAATTAAATTAGTCATTTTTGACTAATTCATTTTTTGAAAGTATAGGTGATAATCGAATACTTTAATAGTGAGCGTTGACAATAATAAAGCTTAAATTAAGAACACTTGAAGATAAATTAAATATTTATGATTTTGTTACAAATTAGGTATAAGTTATAACTTCTTTCATTATTTTTATTTCTTTAATAATTAAAATTATTTTATTATATATTATTATTTTTTTGTATCATTTGTTTGTTCATATTTAAAAAAAGGATAAAGTATTTTTAAGTTTGTATATAAGTACTCTCTTAAAATAAATTAGTCAAAAATGACTAATTGTCATAGCGAAAATTGTCTCGAGTAAAATTTTAACAGTCAACTCCTATGTAAAATTGTCCGCTGAATCCCAAAATACTGTCAACAATTATAAAAGTACAGCAGTTTTTAAGATAGTATAGTCAATTTCATATTAAATGGAAAATTTACTATATCTCAAAAACTATTCTGGTTTTATAAAATCTAAGGATACTGTTATAAAATTTTAGCTTTTCTAACAAAGTTCACTGCAATAGTAGTTGTATTGTACTGCGAGAAATACCGTCGTTTGATTGGTCAATAACCGTTCTAGCGAGGCATTGTCGTATGTAACAACTTTATTTAACACCCTTAGTAACTTTAGTAACTTTGTTGTATCAGCTGAAATTAATAATAATTATTATTACAAAATATGTTAAAAAAATATAAAAACACAATATTTTTAAAATTACAATTAAAACCTCTAATAAAGAATTTATGATATTTGTTAACTACAATATAAAGAAATAAAGGTTAAGACATTTTGGCTTAGCTTAGTTCATCCACTTTTTCTAATGATAATTACTTTTTGGAATGACAATAACTTTTCCCCCTATTGACATATTATTTTTATCAGATATGATAACCTCGATTACCTATAAACAATAATTTGATTACAATCGCAATATTATATTAAATTACTTCAAACAGTTCCTGCAAATTCAATATAATATTAATCATTATTCCAATAAATGGCAAGACTAAACAATAAATTCCTGAAGAATACATTATTCAAATGGCTTGGAAATATTTAATAATTTCATTCATAAATACGACAATAAAATTTAAATTTTAAATTAATTGGTCTACTTAAATTATTTTTAATATTTAAAGATTTATTTTTATGCAGGTGCACCGAAAGTACAAATTGTACTGTACAATAAATTATCATTAACTCCTATTTTTACAAAATTTATTTCGAGATGTTGTGTGTATGTTGCGTCGTCTGAAAGTCGTGGACACACACGGCTTATCAATTGTTTTTCCACCTTATCTGCAATATGTTTGTCTACTTGTGTTATCTACCTATGGACGTTGATATATTTTATTTTGTTTAATAAATGTATGCAGGTACAGTTTTATCAAAGTAATAATAAGTCGGTCAAACACATATCCACGTCGTGTACAAACAACGACAAAAATAAGTGCCTATAGGCACAAACACGTTTAAAATTAATTGATATGCATAAATATCAGAATTAACATTAAAGAAACAAAATATTAGCCTTTGTTGTTCGGCGTAATGTGGAAAAACTGAGGCGTAAAAAAGTTCAGGGAATAATAAAATGACGAGTTATTAAAAAGCATTTAATTATTTAATAGGATAATTTGTGTACAAGACTGCAACGCAAATAAAAACAGCTGTTAAGTTGCTTAACTAAAAAGAAAATTCAATAAATAAAGTTTGAGGAAAGTTTCTGGGTTAAACTTTTCACATTATCATTCATAAGGAAATCGCGATGTTCAAGCCCATTCAGAAACAGTTTAAAATAATTAATTAACTTTTCTGACTTTTTAAGTACACATTACGCGACGACGTTCGTTCAACAGACAAAGAGGGGACGACCACCAACGCCTCGCGACGCTTGCCGCTAGACGGCGACACCTGTACGGACGTCGGGACGCTCCACGAACGTTCTCAATGGGGCGACTTACGTAAAACGTCCTTAAACATGATATATTTCATTGAGATTACTTAAAATAGTTATTTGTTTTACAAGTGTTGAAAAGCGACTTTTTCATGCGAGTGTTCAAGTTCAAACGATATTTTAAGATTTCAAAAATTCCACCCCAATATTCGCAAACTTAATGACACAAAAGTTACGCGCATTTCTCAAATTTTAACGAAAAAAGTTAATAACTCGAAAATTATTCACTTTAGGTATAGGACATGGTGTAGTAATTTTATTTCGAATTTAAAAATGTAAAAATATATGGGGTGTTCTATTTGAAATAACAAAGTTAAGGTCACACCGGTTAAACAGGAAGTGGAATTTTGCTCAAAATATTTTAGATAAATAAAATTATGTAAATGGATTATAAACGCTTTTAAAAATTAAAATCGACATATTTTTCCGTTCCCCAGAAACTTCTAATGTATAATTAAGAATTAAATAATTTAAAGAGAAAAACTATTTTTTTTTATTTGTAATAACTAGTTGACAACTAATTTGTTAAGGGCCTTACAAATATAATTTTTTTTATTTAGATTTATTGCTTTTAATATTAAAAATTTTAATGTTGTATTTCTAAAAAATTTGAATAGGTAACGAAAATTAGTATCTCTAAAACAATTGAGAGAATTATATACGAAAAAAAAATCGTTCTTTATACTATTGCTTGTTTAAAAAATTGCATTCTTATAAAAATCTGAATTAAATGTACAGGGTGCTTAAAAATTAGGAAAACATGAAAATTCTTCAAGAGAGAAGTATTTTATTGAAAAATTGTACAAGAGAATGTCAATAACATCTCAAATTAAAGACGAAATAAAAATTTGTTATTATAAAATTTGATTTTATTTTTATGAAAAGAAGTACAACAAATTTTGTTTTTGCACAATAGCATGCTTAAGACAGTATTAAAAAAAATAAAAATTAACAAAAGAAAAATAGTGAAAATTTTCCTAAACTAATGCTTCAAGATCGTGTTGTCTGGCATGTCTGGTGGCATAGTGTTTATAAAACACACAACATAATTTTCTAATAAATCTAAATTACCATGTAGATTTAAATGTTCTTCAATAAAATATGAGCCGATGATTTGTTAAAAAAACATTTTGCACAAAACAGTTTTTATAATATCTTCTTTGACCACTTTTTCCTTTTGTAGTACAAAAAGAAATACTGAAATTCATCACACATTTTTACAAACAAAGCACAATTAACTTTACAGTCCTTTATTGCAATATTGTTGCAAAAAATATATATCATAAATACTATCTAAATTATTTTTAAATCTTTGTACCGTAAAGTTTATAGTTTATGGACATAAAACAATAATTTTAATGTTTATACTTTTTATTAATTGCTACTTATCAATGCTTATAGACACATTAAGATGATTACCGAAGAAAATTATTTATTGTTAACGGAATTAATATGTTATGTAAACATATTTATTTTAAAATAGCGTATTATTTGAAATTGTTGAATGCGCTGGGACGACTTTATTAAACGGACAAGAATATTAAAATGTCGATGATGTATTTATTAGAGACAGATTTAAATGGGAAAGCATAAACTTTCTTAATTTAACCAAGGAACCTTTAGACCTTGCAATTTGTGTTCACAGAAAACAAATTAAAGATTTACATGTTGGTTCATGAGTGGTTCATAATTCACCATTAAGTACCTACTTTGAAAACAGGTTAAACAATTATATTTATTAAAAAAGATTTCCTATCTAAACGTCTACTTATAAGTAAAAAAAAAGGATTTGGAATATGATGTAACTTGATGAGATTTTTCGTCGGGCTACTGCAAAAACTAGATAACTCCCAAAACACTGTTTTAAATAATTTGAATTTGTAACTTATTTTTAATGGGTTTATTTACTAAAAATAATGTTATATCATTTTTGTTGCCCTCGACATTGATCGGTTTAACCAATTCGGTTGTACTCGTAGTTTAGATCCTTACAGAAACAATTAGTCAAAAAATTAAAAAATTAAGTTATCTTATTCTTGCAGTAACCCGACGATACATTTTCTAAAACGCTTCTTATTGTTAGAAAACGTTGAATGCCCGAAGA